TTTAAACTTTCACTTTTAAACCTAAGTTGCTGCTTAGTTTCACAATAGTTCAGCATTTGCATCCATTTCTTGACAGCAATGTGTGTCAAACTACTTCTAGTTTGTTCATATACACGAGAATCGACTCTTCTACTTGCAGCCCAGAATTCTCCAGTCTTTTTCATTCATTAGTTTTTAAATTAGTTTTTAAATCAAGTGCCCCTTCTTAATATTAATGAATCTGCAGTCTGAAGCATTATAATCCTTTTCTGCTCTGGCATGGAAATTGGTGTCTGGGGAAAAAAAAAAGGCAGCAAAACAATGAGGTAGATTAATTCAAATCCATACATACCTTTACAGAAATATAAATACACATGACATTGTAGTAAAGCTCTTCCTACATATAAAATAGGTTATCTTGAAACAGTTAAATTCTTCAAGAATTTGTTCTGTGCATTTTTCTGTTCTCCAGTAACCAAAATAACAGCTTTAGAAGCAATTTCTGCACTGAAAGTTAGAATTTTTCTCTGTAATTTTCACTTCAGTGAAAAATGTCCCTTTGCAAAACGCATTTTTTGGTGAAACTGCATGTGACATCCTACATATACAGTTGACAAGACATATATATGACAGCTCTAAACTAGCAAAGTGGTTTTCCCTTCACCCCCGCCATTATTTTTAAAATGTCCATATTTTGTCCTCAAATTTAAAGCAAATTTACTTACAGTCGTCATCAGTACACAGCTTCTTGTTGGTAAGCTTCTCCATAAAAATTCCAATTGCAAGAGAACACACTAATCTGAGACACAAAAGTAAAATCATCAAATAAACACTTTGTGTAATTTTTCTTTGCTTCAGCACTTTCTGAGTGTGTGCCAGGTCCAGCAATCCCCAGCAATCTCCCCAGAGGCAGACACCTGGACAAACACACCAGGCTAATAGGAAGGGACTGTGGCAACAGTCCATCCCACCAAAGGAGCCATAGGCAGAGGGAAAACCTCAGGGCTGACTCATAAAGCTGAATCCCTTCCCAATGCCATTCTGTATTAACATTTTAATCAGCATTTAAACATGCTAAGCCCTCTTAAGAGTTGTCCATAGCCTTAACTGTACTTCAAACAAAGTCTGAAAATGAAAATTAAGTCAGACCCTGTTAAGAAGCAAATAAAATTACAGCTTTCTTAATCCTCCTGTCCTTAATTTTCATAAATGCTCACTGACAAGCACAATCTTCCCTGGACCAAAAACCCTCAGTGGCAAAGACTCTCCTGTTCCTGTCTACAGAAAGGACCTACTGCGACAATAGCAGATGGATGCAACGTAAACAAATAATTAGGGAGCTGCAAGGCAGTAAAAAGGCTTGTCAGGTCAGCAATTAAAATTTGAAATCTAAGAATTCAAGCACTGCATACTTGTACAGGCAAGATCCCTTCCACAGGGAGATGCAGTCAGAGCAAAACACAGGGGTCATGCCAGGACAGCAGCCACTTCACTTTTCTTTACCTAGCTGAAATCTCTTGAGGGTTTACAGGTCCAAGACACTAAACAGTGCCACAGGCTGACTTAAAAGGTCCTCTTTACAACCTCTTTACAACAGAACAGCTACAAGCAGGCTGGTCTGGAATAGCACTCAAAAATAACCAAGAGCAAGTTTGGAAATTCTCAAATTGCACTCCAGTTTTTCCTGATTCATGAGGAGGCCTGAAAAGCTGCTGGCTGTACCAGCTTTCAGTTCCCAGACAGAACAGCAGAATTTGCCAGTTGTCATCAAAAATCCCACACTGTTTTAAAAGAAAGTGCATCATGCAACTTCTAGCATCACCTTCCCATCACAGCTGATTTCACCACATTCTCCTCTAGCCTTCCAGCCCATTACTCTTTCCTTCAGCCTCTCGTAGGCTGAGTCCAATTTCCTTCATAGACAGCTCTTTAAGTAAATAAAGGTGAAAAGTAATGGTAGTCATGTGCACACAAACTAGTGGGATGAAGTGACAGTGTAAGTACTACCTATAAATTTATGACTGCAGGAGGAAAAATCCAAGGTTATGATTGAATAAATGTTTTTGCTCTCACAGGCACACTGAAATAATTTTCATTTGCAAGTACTGAATACTTATGAAGCGCATATACACGAAATAACCAAAAAGAATGAAAAAAAATATAAATGGAGATAGGACGGTAATTGAGATGAGTGTGAAAGAGGCATAATTTTGCAACGTACTCTGGGAGCAGGTGAAACTCCCAATTTTCCAGGTCTTGTGCAAAAAATGGTGGCTTATGTTGCAGCTATAAAACACTGCAACTGTTTAAAGATTTTTTTCCCAACACTTACAACTCACAATACTACATCTGATTATTTTACTGCATCCAGTGTATTTCATGTCACACAAAACTATAAGGTTTTTAACAAATGAGAAAAAATAAAGTATATAAAACCTGAGAAACCCAGAAGCATTAGGACATGTATTTTGGAAAAGCCTGGCTAAAAACCGAAAACTTCAATGTTTCCTCTCGGGACTTGCTTCTACTGCCAGGCACCAACACAAAACCAAGTCAAATCACATTACTGCCAAACTGTAATCAATTTCTAACTACACCTGGGGAAAAAAACACTAATAATAAGCTGTATTTCCTAAGTGAAAAACAGCTGTCCCCTTGACAATGAGGTTGAATGCCGTATTTATTCTGAATATGCTGGCATTCAGCATTCCTGATCCTACCTTTTGCTCTGGAAAGACAGCTATTTTTAGCGCTCTCTTCTGAGAAATAAGGATCACCTTAAAAGGTCTTCAACTGAATAACCCTGCAAGGTTAATCAATAATGAGACAGACTTGAGGAAAAACATGTCTTGAAAACAGCACATTTATATTTTATTTTATAAAAATTAGTATTTCAACAGAAAAAGTTACTATGCATGTGATCTGTGGAAATCCTACATGTGCCTGGTCACTGTGGCAATTCTAGTCGAGTCTTATGTTTTCTGCAGAGAACAGCAAACGTGCTAGCTGACCAGAGTATTAGTGTTTAAAAAACAAAACACCTATCCACAGAACTCCTTTGCAGGAGCACATAGTTATTTCTTCGCATAAGTGATTTTCATGGCATGAGATGGAGTGATCTTGAATCCTTGGAGAGCATCTCGAGCAGCCCCTGCCTGATTCTCATTTTCAAACTCCACGAATGCGATGTCATGGCGCCCTGGCACTAAGCGTACTTCTTTGAATCCAGGAAACCTTTAAAATAAGGTGAGAGTCAAAAAACACTTCTTAGCTCGATAATACATGTCTCTTCAGTAGCTTCTTGTCAGAAGTATCTACTAGTGCAATAGTTATAACTAATGAAAGATTTAATTTGAAGGGTTTCACATGTTCTATCCTTAGAACTATGCCTCAGTTAAGGAATATTATGTGGAAGCACTTTAATCAGTGCTGTACACATACAGAAGCAATCTAACTAGTTTTAAAACTGCTCCTGTTTTCCTAAAGACTTCAGTATTACAGGCACCAGCTTAAATCCAGTGCAAATTGATAGCAGATAAATTACAATCAAAACCAGCTATGAAAAAGGTCAGATTTGCTTTCTGAACCATGTCATCAGAACTGACATCTGTAACCTTGGCAGTAAGACAAACAACTGAAATACTTTCAGAAGAAACTCTTATGTCTAAAAAGTGAGCTTGCCAACTGAGAAAAACACACAGCTTACAGAATTCAAAGGAGAAATAATTTATATTCAAAACTTACTGATTAAATAACATGGACAGCATCATCTCATTTGTTTCCTCAGGCAAATTATTAAGGAAAAGGATAAAGTTTGGTGGGTTATCAGGCACCTGCAATCACAGAAGATCAAAGCTCAGAAGACTATACATAGTTGCATACAGTTCCTTTCCATCTGTCTGCATGATTATTTGAACCAAGACTCACATTTCTTTAGTTTTGCTCATAACATTCTATCTGGGCTTCACCACATCTTTATCAATATGCAGACAGAGCCCCTTCATTCTTTTACACGGATATATTAATTTGGAGAGGTTCTTACTTCCACGAAAATCACAATACAATCACATACTGTCTTAGATGTCACATTTGAACTCAACTACTCAAGAGCTGACACGGCAGAACTCTCTGCACTCAGGTGCCAAAGCAGTGGCTGCAGTGCTATCCAAGACACCTGTATGAGTATGAAAGACTCACATCCTTTTGGAAAGCCCTGGGCTTTCCAGTGGGAAGCCAAGCCCTGTTTACTGCAGTACTACCAAAATACTGAATATCTTTGGGCAAACTCACAAAACCCACATGGTTTTATTACAGACCTCTATTAAAATTTCTTAATTAGAAGCCCCTTTTGATTTAGAGCTTTAGTCTTTTAACAGATTTGTCCGCTAATATGAATTTGTAGCCACCCACCATAGACAAGGCTGAGTACTGATACTGAATTTGCTGGTACTAGAATCTTCAAGTCATTGAGTACATTATAAAAATAAAAATAAACTGGACACCCCAACTTCAAACATCCTCAAAGCAGTGCCAATAAAAAGCCTCAGGAGCACAATCTCCTTCTACTGATGGAAATATTCCAGGTAGTGCCATTAGAAAATAAACTTCTGAAGTTCAAAGAAATACCCAAACACTGAGTGCTTTGATGCAAACTGACATACACATATTGTGCCTGAAAATCCAGGGAGCAAGACCTTTTCCCCTGTTGATTGTGTATGCAGTGGCAGTACTCAAGAAAGATGCAGGGCAGGCCAGGCAAAGATATTCTTCTTTGGTACTTGCTCTCCTGCAAATCCTGGCTCTTTACCACTTTCACTTCTAAGATGAAAAATTTAGAAAGTCACTGAGCAGACAAGATATATGAAGTGTAGGGAGTTGTTCCTACACCTCCACACAGTCCTTTGGAAAATAAGACAGTTGTGACAAAAAATTGAGAAGAGAACCTCTCAACTCCTGAAATAAAGCTTTTAGGCAGATATTTTGGCATCCTGTGTTGTCCTTCTTATCTGCTGCTAGGACAAAGTAAGTTAAAGGGAACTTATAAGCAATGAAAAAAGATTAAGAATCCCTCAGCTGATAGTAAGCACAGTCCAAATTTAAGAATCCAGTATGATTTGGTAATAGTGCTGTTTCCTGTATAGCAATGAGAAACTGCAGATTCTCATTTCCTGTCAACCAGCCAGATATAGTAAAAAAGGGATTTGTTTTGTTTGTTTACTGTCATGTAGCTGTTAGACAGAAGTCTCACAGGACAAAAACAAACCGGTAAAATATATCCTCAAGTTTCCATGTGTAACAAATTATTATTCATAGAGAATAATTATAAACATTAGTGCTTTCAGCAATAAAAATAAAAAACCTTACCTGATTCTGTGGTGTAGTCCCTGGGGCATTGGCTGAATTCTGTGTTGCGCCCTAGCAAATAAGTACAAAATAGTTTTACAAAGGTGTTCCATTAGAAATAAATGGAACATAGGCACATATCACCATTTTTCTCTACAATTCAAAACGTGTGTTAAGGTTTTTTTTGAGCTGCAATCCAAGGAACATTTGATGCTTATGAGATACTTCCCAAAGGGAACAAAGCATGTGAACTTTGCTTAGCTCCAAAACCAGGAAATCAAAAGAAATAACATCAGTACTATCTAATCAATCTAATGGCCGAGTCAAGTGTTTCTCCACATTATATGATTTAATTTAATAGACAAGGAGGAAGCAGTTTTGAAAATGGGAGGCCTAGACAAGTATCCTGGTTTCACTTGGGATAGAATTAATTTTCTTCTTATTACAGTATGTTTTCAGTTTAGAATGAGAATAACACTGATAACAAACTGACGCTTGAGTTGTTGATAAGCAGTGCTTGTTTACATCAAGGACTTGTCAGTTTCCCATGCTCTCCTAGTGAGCAGGTACACAAGAAACCAGGAGGGAGCAAGAAGAGCTGACCAGAACTGGCCAATATTCCATAGTAGAGAATATCATGTCCAATATATAAACTGGGGGGATCTGGTCAAGTGTCTTGATGATTTCTGCTATACTTCAGCACAAAAACTACTGAATGTACTACTAAGGCCAATCCTTAGTGCAGATAAATTCCAGCCTAACTCCTGTTAATCTAACATCGAACATCTAATATATAAAGTAAATGAACTGTCTACTTCTCATTTACCATCTGTCCTTATTGGGCAACATGGCATTAAAACACTGAAGAGAAAAGCTGGTTGAGCACTTGAAGCCAGTGCTAAAGAAAAGCGCACTCTCCTTTTATTCCTTTTCTTAAAAGAGGCTAGTTTCTACTTTGGTTTGTTGTACCTATATCCTTTTTTCATCTGGTAGGAGCGAAGGAGGGAAAAAAAGGAACAGCAAGGACTAAATAACCAGTCCCTTCTCCTTCAACTTCTAGTAAATGCTCAAGAGCTCTAGATAATCAACATACTCCAATTTAGGGAACTGAAAAGTAACAAAGCACAACATCAAGTCCTAAAAAAAT